ATTTTTGAATATTAAAGACAATTTAGTGTACTTTTAGAAATTTACCATGTGGTTGATACTCAATATATCTTTTTGATCATTTCTATCATCAAATTGAATATTGGGTCAATGGGACAGTGTTTCCAAAACTGGATCAAACCATATGGTTAGACCGAAAAAATTGGGAACCAGACACTGTTTCACCTCAAAACCGCTTTTTGTCCAAAAGCCGTTTATTTGGTTAGCAAACCACTGACCTAAGTAGTCGAACTGTCAACCCGGACAATAGTTTTTGGCCTTTTCATGATTTTCTAATTTTTTATTTTTTTGTTAGAGCAGGTCTTCCATTTGACAAATAGACCATTCAACCCCAAAATAGTTCCCTATCCAGTCCAATTTTAAAAACCTTGGACAAGGAGTGGGTGCCTTGCCTTGACCTTGGCTTGGTGTGCGGCATGGCCTAGCCCAAGGCTCAACCCACGGCACAGCACGGGCTGATGCAGGCTTGAGCCATAGGCCGTGTCGAATTGACCCCCCAAATTATCCTAGAGGAGGAAGGCACGGCCCAGGATGCCTTGTGGGCCAACACGACACGACTCGCACTTTGTGTGGGCCACATGCGGGTCGTGTTGTGCTGACCCAACAAGACCCAATTTACACCTCTACTTGAACCCGCCCAATACTGGGGACTGGGTAGGGAAATTCAATGATTCTCCATCCTTGATGAGGAGTGGGGTGCCTTGCCCCTAAATTCACCCGACATTTGAGGAGTGATTACCTTGCCCTGAACTCGCGTGCCACTGGGGACAAGGTGGGGATGGGGTAGAGTGTCTTGACAATGGGGCAAGGAAAGGGATGGGGTGCCCTACCTTGTACCCACCCCGTTGTCAATCCTATATAATTGTTAATTATTAGTGAAATTAATAAAAATGTTATCTTTTATAATTTTTTTTATTTATTTTAAAATTAATCAAAATTTCATTTAAAAATAATAAAAAAATAAAAATTAATAAAATTACTACAAATTATTAATTAAATTAAATTTATTAAAAATATTTATTCATATTCAATTAATAATAATTATTTTTTATAAATTAACATTAAATAAAAAAAATATTAAATCTTTCAGATTTTCCCGTGCATCGCACGGATCCCTGCTAGTATATATAGATAGAAAGTCATGGTGAAAGTGGGACCTAGCTAAAAGTTATAACAAATTTGAGAGGGGCAATATCTGCAGGCATAAGCGGCAGGGTGAGGATGTTTACTGTTTACCAATCTATCTACTTCTTTGTCATTGCACTGATTCACTGAACTGTGGACAAAAGAGATATGCTAGCAGCTGGGGCTTCTAGTAACCTGCCCTCTTAGCGATGAAATGAACTAAAAATTGCAGGGACATATTTGAAATGGGCTTATGATTGTTTTTATCCTTGATTCATAAAGATGCATAGAAGAATTGAATTCAAACATATATATATAGAGAGAGAGAGAGGAAAGCCCAATTGTTCCAAAGTCTGATCAAGAACTCCAAACACAAGTAGTTAAAGGTTTTGTGGATGGAGCTAGGATTATCCCTTGTTTACACCATTTTGCCATTTTGCAACATGACTCTATGAGCTTGGATCTCCTCCCTTAAATTCTTCCCACATCCCTCCCTACTCATAGGACACTGCGGTGCATTGAGAATCTCTCTCATCATGGGGGATATTCATAGGGATGCCAAAGGGTCGGGTTTGGCACGGGTTTGTCTCAACCCTAATCTAACCCTATAGTGCCTCAATCTGGACCCGATCCGACCTGCATTAAAATACATGATTTCCAAATCTGACCCGATCTGATCCGTAGCATTTCAGTTGTATTTTTTTAACACGTTTTGAAGACTTAAAACTCATTAATTTAAGTTAGGAAATTGTTTTATTGCATCTAAGATGTCACTTTTGCCATTAAAAAAAATAATAAAAATTATCATGTAAATAAATCTTAAATTTTAAAACTATAGAGTTAGAAGTCAAAAAGTTACAAGAATACTTTGTATATATGTAGGACATCATGATCTAGTGGATGGATCAACCAAAACCCGAACTTGATTTAGACTAAATAATCAAAACCCTAGTCCAATCCTAAAGCCAAATATATTACCCTAACCCGACTCTATAAGCCAGATTTACCATTTAACCCGACTCACTGACATCCCTAGATGTTTTCAATGGCCAATGCGCAGTGGTAGTGCATTGTGGATAGTAACGTGGGAACAGTTGTGAGTAGGAGATCCGAGTGCATTACGATTTACGACATGCATTGCATTCGGTTCTAGTCATTGGAAATTAATTCTTTACCTCCAATCAATGAGGCCCCAACACTTGATCATGTAGGATTCCTTTGGTATTGGATTGCACATTTGATAAGGCAATTTTTTTGTGAAATTAAAAATTCCTTAAAAGTTCCCTATGTTTTTTGGCAAATACTAAATTAAAGGCCCCTCAATTTTATCCTAATCCAAAAATATCCCATATTGAATAGAGAATATCAAAAATTCCCTCATCGATTTTTTATACTTGATTCTATTACCAAAAACCTGCCCTGTTTGTAGGTCATTTGGTTTTTAACTAGTCCAAATTAATAGTTTTTTTTTTTTTTTATAGATCAAAACCATTCATATTGAAACTCATCTTTCAAATATCCGAGCTGTAAATTTTGGGCCCAATCTACCGTTGGCAGAGAATCCAAATTTCAATGTGTGTTTTTACAAAGTTTCAAAAATATTAGATGTTTTGTGACTAATAAGATTAAATTTTGGAGAGACATTGCCAAGTGACTCAATTGGTGAGGTCTCTAGCTAGTCCAAGCGGAGACTTGCGATCTTGTCCTGCCATTAGGGGTGTCAATGGACCTGGTTTAAGTTAGACTGTCCAAATCAAAATCAATTTATTCGAATTGGACGGATAAATAAGATATATTGAATTGGACCAGTCCAGATTTAATGGTCCAAAGTATTTATTAGATTGGATTGGACATGATCCATCCCTAATAAATTTATATTGGATTAGGTTGGACTGAGCCAATATTTGATCCGTTGATAAAAGATAAGAACGCAGGTGTAAATAGAACAGATTTGAATTGGAACCAATCAAATTAAAATAAATGTAAACAGATTTGACGATCTAAACATTAAATTAGACCGTTACAAAATAATCTAAATTATTTATTGGACTGGAATGGACCAGATCCATTTGTAATGGATTCACATTGGATCGGATCGGATTGGACCAAATCCAGTCCAATTGACACCCCTACCCGCCATATCACAGGATTAGGGGGTTATGGAAGAGACTTTGTGGGGGCCATGGCTCACTTGGCTGCGCCCCTGGATCCCTAATGAACTTCACATAATAAAAGTGAGCCACAATGAGCATTTTGATCCACTTGATTCCAAGTAATGAGGGCATTATTGGAATTTTGGCATAACTTTGATTTTATGTATAATCAAATGTTAACAAACAATCAAACAAGTGTAGGGTGGGTTTTGTCCTCCCATGTCAATCAACAGGGAGGTTAGGGGAAGAGGGGGGAGGATCTTGCGGAAGCCCTGCCCGCCCTTCTCTATTTTGAGGGATCCCTCATATTGATGATTCCAGGCTTCCCGGACTCGTAACAGTCAGTAGTCTCTGCCGTTGCAGGTCTTTCTCCTTCCGCTGAGACGGCCCTCTTTTTGGTTTTGTTCGTTCACAGCGGCACGAAATCATGAAGAAGCTGGAATAACTCAGAAAGAGACTGACACCGAATATGACAATCATGACCCCCTTTTAATAAGTGCCTACCCTCAATATTCTAGTCAAAAGGCATACTTTGTAGTAATAGACTCGTTTAGGCAGTGACGTAAAGTAGTTTTAATTAAGAAACCTCAGGGGAGGTTTAAGGACTCTCCCTCTATTGATAGATCAGGATTTGACGTCATGTAAAAATTGCACCAGAATCGCTTAACTGAATTCGCTCTTGCATTTTTTGAGAGTTCGGTTTCTATCAGGGCACGGTGCATACGCGCACCGTTCGCTCATAACGAAAACGCGCCACGTGTCTTTTCAATCTCTCATGTAATCATTTAAAGCGTGTGAAGCCAATAAACGGCGTTAATAGGAGTTGTCGTTAGAATCTATTCGAAGAAACTTTTGCCGCCTCGCACTCAACCCTGTCCCCTCCCGTTCTCTCCCTCCTCAACGGGTGGCGACCAACAACTATCATCGGCGATTATTAATACCGGCGATTGTAAGAAAAATTCATGTATTGATTTTTTTTTTTTAAATTTTCTTCCTCAAAACATTGCATCAAGTATTGCATTTCATTCTTAACTTTTGTTTTTCCCAAAACCTAAATCGTAATTTCTCTATTCGATAATGGGAGTTTAGTAAATTCATTACCACCCGCGACAACCCTTACAGTGTTAGCATTATATACCATTGCAGTTTATAAAAAGATTTTTATATCCAAAATATGCATTACCTGAGTGTCTTCAGTCGCCGTTCACCATTCACGGTACAAAGGAGATGAAGTTACAATTTAGGTTTTGGAGAAAACAAAAAGCTAAGAATAAAATGCAATACCTAATGCAATGTTTTGGTAAAGAAAAACTGAAACAAAAAATCAATACCTAAGTTTTTCTTCTGGTCGCCAATGTTAATAATTGCCGGTAATAATTGTTAGTCGCCGCTGGTTGGAGAGGAAGAGAACGGGTGGGAACAGGATTCAGTGCGAGGCGGCAAAGAGCAGTTTTTTCGAATGGATTCTAACGGCATCTTCTGTCAACGCCGTTTGTTGGCTTCACACGCTTTATAAGGTTACACGAGAGAAAAACTCGCGCGTCCTCCTTTTGCGCCATGCACCGTGCTGATAGAAGCCGAACTCACTTTTTGAGGAGCCAATAACATAAGGGCACCGATAATGTTTCAATTCTAAGCCCAACTCCTCTCTATAAATAATCTAACAAATCTCTTCCTCCAGACTTCTTCCCTTTCTCCCTTCTCCCTCCTCCCGACGCCCTCAAAACGAAAACAAAAAATGGAGTTCTCAACATTCCAACCCGCCTTTTCATGGCCTTACTTCTTCACCTCTCCTCTTCTTTTTCCTTCTTGCATCATCCCGGAAAACTGTGTCCACTGGACTGAAACCCAAGAGTCTCATATTTATAAGGCCGAATTGCCTGCAGGTAATCCATCTCTTGGCTCATCAGAAATTCTCTTACGTACGTGTTTCTGTAAATGCATCTCCCACGGAGGCTTGTTTTGTTTTAACAGGTGTGAGGAAGGAGGAAATTAGGGTTGAAGTTGAGGACTCGCGGTACCTCATAATCCAAACACAAGGTACTGAAAAGGAAAAAGACCCTACCGGGAGCTTCATGAGGAAATTCAGGCTTCCACCTATGGTCGATATCAATGGAATCTCTGCTGGGTACCAAAACGGGGTGTTGAGGGTTACAGTTCCAAGAAGAAGCCGCTTAAGAATTGATCCCGGTGACATGCCTGAGAGAAACGAAGTTCTTGCACCGGCGGCTTCACTTGTTTAATTATAAATCATTTTAGCTTCTAAGGATTTTCTTTCTTCTCCCTCCTTATCATGTTTTCTTTTTTCCTTCTTATGTTTGTTTCTTTTTTCTTCTTCTATTTTGATTTTTGAGTAAGTTATACGTCGTGGGTGTTAATGGGAGGTGATGGACAATTTGATATCGTTAGCGTTATGGTGTATTACGGCTTGAAGCCTTGAAGGTGTATTCTATGATGATATCGGTATGACATGAGTTCATACAACTCTCTTGTACTTTCTTGCATTCTCATGATATATATATATATCATTTTTGAAACAACCAATGAAAAGCAATTTCTCTTAAACCGCTTTCCTCACTTTATCCAAACTTATCTCCGATTCCTATTTATCTTCTAAATTATCTCTAATTCCTATTTACCTCTAAAATTACCTCTAAATTAGTAGGGAGTTTCTCTCCTAAATTATCTCTAATTCCTATTTATCCTCTCCCCTACTTTTTATCTATATCTATCTAAAGAAAGTTTAGATTAAAAAATTTAAGAATTATTTATATATTCTAACAAAATTATATAATAAATTATTTAAAATATTTATTAAAAACACAAAAAATAATTTTATATTTTTAAAAAATATATCACAAATTATGTACTAACAATTTAAATTATGTTTTTTTTGGATTATCAATTTAAATGTTTTTCAAATATTTAATTTATGTAATAAATTAAAAAAAAATCTTCAAATTAGAAAAATAATTATAGCATAATATTCAAATTAATAATAATTTTATATATTATAAAATTAAAAATGAAATTATGTAATCTCTTTCTCTCTCTCCCTCTATATTAAAACAAGGAAGTCTAAAAATTTTTTCCTTTTTTTGAATTTTTTATTTTTTTAATTCCATGTCATTTTTTAAACAACCAATGAGATGCACTTTCCCAATAACCTAAATAATCTCTTCTCCTAAAATT